TAATGCATACAAATGAATATTATCAATATTATAGATGTGCATAATGTAAAAAGAAATGAACATTCGTTTAGGCATATAAATATATATGTAAACTGAAATGAACCAATATTAACATATATTTTAAAATGAACATTACTTTATATGTAAATGAACATTATGAATTTCATAAATGATCAAAAGGTTTCATAGAATGAATAAGTCAGTTTCTCAACTTAAATGAATGAATATTTATGCATTTCATAAATGTGCATAACGTATCATAAAAATGAACATTTTTTATTTAGGCATATAAACTCAAATCTAAACTCAAATAAATTCAAATATACAAATGAACATTTATAATTCAGTATATGTTCATATATTACCTCGGAATCGTAGAAATGTTAACATCTATACCATAAGACTTTTTAATATCTTTTAAAAGTTCTAGATCTACAACTTGAGACTTTTGTTCGTTGTTTTTTTTTTTTTTTTTTTTTTTTTTTTAATTTTTCTACTCTTGTTTAAATAGGTTATTTAAATAATACTTACGTTTCTTCAGAATCTGCCTTGTTGTGTTCAACGAACAAGATTCTTCTCTGAATCATCATTCTCTTTATCTCTCTACTTTGAAACATATTTTTCGGTTCTAAAAAAAAACACAAAACACAATAGATTTTAATGATTTTTGCATAAAATAGTTCTAATCAAGTTAGATTATGTTTCCAAACATGTAATTTCAAAATAAAATAGAAAAACTAGGGTTCGTACAAAAAATTGTAGTAAAATTACTTACTCTTTCTGTGAATGTTGTTGCGATTGTTGAATTTCTTCGCAAATGTATACATTTGAAGCAATTTAGCAGTATTTTAAAGCAATTTCGTAGTATTTTGAAGCAATTTCGTAGTATTTTGAAGCAATTTTGGTTCAAATTTTTTGGTTTTGATGAGAGAGAAAGTCTAGAGAAATAAAGAAGAAGGTTTTAGAGAGAAAATGATTTGGTGGGTAGTTACTGCAGTTAATGGGTTATGGGATATGTGGGTAATATGATAAACACGTCGTTTAAAGGGGGGTGTAGGTACCCCTACCTACACTAGGGTCTAGTGTATACCAATTAGGAAATTATGGCCAATTTACTAAACTGGGCCCGGTTTGAGCTTTATGTACGGCCCAATGATATAGGGGAGGGCCTAATATGATTTATCATTCCTAATGCAATTAGGAATGGTTTTAGTCTTCTAAAATCTTCTAGAAAGTTCTTTTCATTCCTAATCCAATTAGCATTGATAAATTGACTTTCGTTGACTTTTCAGAGTTTTAATCAAAATCAAATAGCATTTTCGAGGAAATTATATTATTTTATCCTCCAGTACGGTAAACTTATCGGATTTTAGAAAACGCGTTGGTATCAGGCTTGGCGCCTAACCCCAGGCCTTGGCGCCTAGAACTAGGCCTAGCGCCTGGCGCCAACTAGCCAGGTTTGGCGCCAGCCTTGTTTTCTGAGCGTCAGACTCTGTTTTGTTAATTTATCTTTTTTGGCTGATTTTCTCTATAAATATCGTATTAAAAACTCCGTTTTCATGGATCATCTACATCTGTCATTCACCAATTCTCACCAATTGTTTTCAATTCTCATCAATAATAATTAATTCTTTAACATTCTCTAAATCATTCATCTCTCTTCAACATTCTTTCTTTCTAAACCTTTGTTTTTTCATACAAAATTCCGCATTCACAAGATCTAGAAACACCTAGCCATATTCGAAGTTGCCTTCGCCCTAGACGTGAAAGGTTTAATTTCTGAGGGTTTGGTCCCAAATCTCTATTTCAATTATTTAATTTAATTGTTTGTTTATTATTTTCCTTAAAGTTACTAACGTGTGTATTTTGTTATTAGAAAGAGGTACGGGGCATCAAAGTAAGTACTTTAATTGATTAATTGATGTTATGATGTAGAAATCATGTTTACATTGTTATTATGATATTCCTAGTATCATGTCTAGGGTAACTTTAATATTAAATATGATTCCTGCGATGCTTCCTATGTTCTTCCTAATATTTATGATTGTTAGTATCATGTTAGGGCTAAAGATTTGATTTTTATTGCTTAGTGACATGCTAGGGTTTGTTATTAATCTTGTTAGTATCATGCCTAGGATCTTGCTATTTTTATTATGCTTTAATATTAATATGAACATGATCATGAATATTATTATTGTTATGATTATAATTTTATTGTCATGATAATGATTATTTATTATGTTGCTTGATGCTTATTTATAATTATTGCTTGATCACACCTTTTATGCATGTTAAAGAGAATTTGTACTTGTAATCATGCTTAATAAGATAATTAATAATCTTGTTTAGGGTTAATTTGATTATAATTCAAGTGATCGCCAATAATAGATTTATTTGTGCATTATATTCAACCAACATAGATAAACAGGTTTAGGGTTAATCCTATTGATTGCATGTTAATCAGAAAGCGCACATGAATACGATCAGAATAAAGTAGAGGCCTATTATTAGGGCAGGTTCAATCTCTTTTAGGTTGTATTTGTACCTTCATCCCCGAACCCTTATTTGGTTCATGACCTTATGGAGTTGATGATCTCTTGGATCGTTAAGGGGTGTAACCTTCACCTCGTGAACGGTTTACAAGTTCCTAAAAAAACTTGTTGGCGACTCTTTTGCTCTATCTTCTTCCCTTTTGGACGTCACCGTACTTTAGTGTATGATCACAGTGGGGTTCAAGCTAGTGGGATTAAAGGCTTGAAATTATTCCCTACAATAGGCAACCTTCTTATTATACCTGAGACGTTGATTCGGACTTGTTTAAATACTTGATATTATTGTACCAAATATATGGTCATTGATATCTTACAATACAATACAAGAAGGGATAACATCATCCTAAACACGAAGACCAACCTGCCAAATAATGTGCTAAAGTGTGAGCAACTCCATTACCCCCTCCCCCTTTTCACAAATTCCCAGCTAACATAATCAAACTTACTACTAAAAAGTAAAATATCATCAATGACTAAATGGACAGCACTGAAGTCTTTCATCTGATCACGCAGCATTCTAATAACCACTAAATTTTTTGGTTAGAATTGTATGTTCAGATTCATTCTTTGGTTGAGACTAAATTTTCTGGTTGGTTTGAGGAATGTTTGTAGTTGGATTTTTTTTTTTAATGTTCTTTAAAGTAGTATAATCAATTCATAAATTTGAAAGCATTAGTAGCTAGAATCTTGTAGCTTACTATTTCTGGCCTTCAAATCATTATAGCAATATCAATTCACAGTTTTTCTCAAATTTAAATATGTTGGATAATCCTACTAACAAAATCTCCCACAATTTTTCTCTAAAGTTCTAATCTTTCATTGCAGTAGGGGTTATCCTGAACCCTTTCTCCCTCGCAAGTTCCTCGTTTCCCCCTCGCAACTCTGGTGGGTGGTGGTATCTTGCGGTTTTTTCCGGCGGCCATGTGAAGAACTCAAGGTAATAAGTTTACTTTACTCAAAGTAATAAGTTTTATTTTTTTTCCTAACCTTAATTTTTAGAAAAATTAAATCTGTTAAGGTTTTCATATAATTTTTTTGGTAGTGAGGTGAAGAACAGTTGAATTTTTTTTCAGTTCAATCATTTTTTGATTTTTTTCAGTTGAATTTTTTAATTAATTTTTTTTATTATTTCTGTTCTTTTTGAACATGAAGTTTTAGTTTTCAATTCATTGTTTTTGCTATAATTGGGGAAAGTGATGCTGAAAACACTGAAATAACCAGAGTATTGTCTGCAGCTACCGTGTGGTAGTAGTAATGAGTCTTGGATAGCCAGTTTAGTGAAGTCAAGACAAGCTCCGGCGCCTTTATCAGCAAGGCAAGGTCTGACTTTAGTCTTAATTTTCAGCATTTTTGATGTGGTGTAGTGTATTTTGTTGATTGAAATTGTTTTGTGTTAAACTTTTAACGATGATTTGTTTAGCTAAGAGAATTGAAATTAAACTAAGATTGATTGTGTATTAAAGCGTAGAAATTTTGAATCCAAGTGATGATGAAGAATGAGTGTGTTAATTGGGTGTGTTAAATGAAGAATTAGTGTTACTATGTAAGAGGATAAGAAATGTTATTTATGTGACGAATTCCTAAGAATTAGAGGTAGAGGTGAATATTTATCTCGCATTTGGAAATTTTGAAGTATGTTGTACTTTATATGGATACTTTTAGTGTATAGTTTTATTGGTTGGTCTATTTTATTGTATGTGCATAATTTATTTGCATCAAATTATAAATTTTCACTTTTAGGTAAATAACTCATGTTTATGTGTTTGGTTACTTTTATTTGACATGATTGATCTTGAATGTGTTAATATTTATTATGCATTACATCTTCATATGCCTAGATACCCGTTCAAGATTTACTCATTAGGAGTAAATCTTGAATAGTCCCCGTTTGGGACTGTTCTTGGAATTGTATTCTCACTTAGGATGTAAATGGTTATTTGTTTTTCGGAAGTAAAGGTAATTTTGTGTTAGCATTCCCTAATGTGTTCTCGGGGTACATATGTAATTAAGAAATTAATTGCATCGTGTACTTTGAGAACCATAGGGAAATGCTGTCGAAATTTCCTTAGGGCCGAAAAATGGTCAACCATTTGCTAGTGAGAATACACTTCCAAGGATGGGTTAGGTTGGAGCGATAAGGACCTTTGGAATCATGCATTTGGAATGTGTTGATATGTGATGTTGAATATAATTTGTTTCTTGGGTTTTAATCATACATTTTTAGAAGTGGACCGTCGTTGGATGTATAATGGTTCTCGAACCACACCAGAATACTTAGCCGGGGTCAACGAATTCTGTAGAATCGCAGTGCAACACCAATAGAATACTCTCGTTGAACAAAGGCTAACCAAAGCAAGACCTATTTTCTGCCCTTGTCGTGATTGTAACAATGTGAAGAGGTGGGAAGACATTAAGAAAATAGAGGACCATTTGATTATTCTTGGGTTTATGCCGGACTACAGTATTTGGTATTGGCATGGTGAAAAATTTCCTCCCACGGATAATTCTTCTTCTATTAACGGCAATGAAGCTGATGAGAGAGAGCCGAATGGTTTTGATGATAATGAAGTGGGTTTTAATGATGACATGGAGGAAGACAGGATAGAAGAGATGATAGACGGGTTAGGCGATCATGTTAATGAAGATTCTCATATATATGAGAATGTGTCGAAAGCAGCTGAGACACCGTTGTATCCCGGTTGTTCTAAGTATTCCAAGCTTTCTGGGATTTTAACTTTATATAACTTGAAAGCGAAGAGCGGGTGGACCAAAACTAGTTTCACTTTGTTGTTGGAAACCCTCTCTGATATGTTTCCAGAAGGAAATGACATTCCTAAGTCGACTTCCTATGAGAAGAAGTTGATGTGTCCATTGGGTTTAGAGTACACCAAGATCCATGCATGTCCTAATGATTGTGTGCTATATCGAAAGGAGAATGCAAAATTGGACGCTTGCCCAAAGTGTGGTGTGTCACGATACAAGCGAGAGGGCTTAAATAAGGATCCCTTGAAGTGGCCACCAGCTAAGGTAGTGTGGTATCTTCCTATAATACCAAGGTTGAAGCGCCTGTTCTCAATTAAGGATGAAGAAAAGAAGTTGGTATGGCATGAAAATGAGAGGAAGAAGGATAGGTTGATCAGACACCCAGCTGATTCGTTGCAATGGAAAGACATTGACAAGACATTTCCAGAATTCGGGAAGGAGCCAAGGAACATAAGACTGGCATTAATTACGGATGGGATGAATCCATTTAGCACTCTTAGTAGTCAACATAGTACATGGCCTGTTCTTTTGTCAATATACAACCTACCTCCTTGGTTGTGCATGAAGCGCAAGTACATCATGTTATCACTTCTAATCCCAGGTCCTAAACAACCTGGCCATGAGATAGATGTTTATTTGGAGCCCCTTATTGACGATTTGAAACTGTTGTGGGATGAAGGTGTTGTGACATTTGATGCTCTTTCGGGTACAAATTTTAGATTAAGAGCCATGGTGTTTTGTACCATAAATGACTTTCCCGCATATGGAAATTTGTCAGGGTACAAAGTCAGAGGAGAAAAACCATGCCCTATTTGTGAGGATGACATGCAAATTACACGTTTGACGCATTGGGGGAAGAATGTGTACATGCATACCAGACGATCACTTCGTCGAAATCACCCATACAGGAAGATGAGACAACAATTCAACGGGCATGTTGAGAAGGGAGTGAGTCGTGAGCCATTGACAGGAATTGAAGTGTATGAGAAAATTAAAAATGTTAAGACAATCTTCGGTAAGATGCACAGAGAAAAACCAAAGAAGGGTGTGTTGTGGAAAAAAGTGTCTAAGTTGTGGGATCTGCCTTATTGGAGCACTTGTCGGTTCAAGATTGTCTTGATGTTATGCACATTGAAAAAAATGTTTGTGAGGCACTTATTGGGACTTTGTTAAATATCAAAGGGAAGACAAAGGATGGTGATAATGTGCGTAGAGACATGAAGGAAGCCAAAATTCGACCTAAGTTATGGCGTGAGGATAATGAAGTGACGAAAAAAGCATTTTTTCCCCATGCGTGTTATACATTGTCTAGAGAAGAAAAAAGGATCTTTGTGAGTGTTAGAAAGGAATCAAGGTGCCGATAGGGTATTCGTCGAACATAAGGCGTTTTGTTTCTACTACTGATAAGAAAGTTGTTGGTATGAAGTCCCATGATTGTCATGTGATGATGCAAGTGTTCATGCCAATTGCACTCCGAGGCCTTTTGCCAAAACATGTTAGGCATGCTATTGTGAAGCTTTGCTTGTTTTTCAATGCAATTTGTAGTAAGGTGATAGATCCAAAAACACTCGAAGATATGGAATATGATATTGTTGAAACATTATGCAAATTCGAGATGTATTTTCCTCCTTCCTTTTTTGACATAATGACTCACCTTGTTATGCCAAAGTACCCATTTGCCTCGTGAGATAAAGGAGTGTGGTCCTGTATTTATGCGTTGGATGTACCCTTATGAGAGGCAAATGGGTACTTTGGTAGATAAGGCAAAGAACAGGGAAAATCCTGAAGGGAGCATCGTTAAAGGGTTCATAGCAGAGGAAGCTGGGAACTATTGTTCAGTGTTTTTAGCTAAGGCTAAAGAAATTGGGATTCCGACTTCTTGTCACGAGGGAAGACTTCAAGGAAAGGGTACAGTAGGTCGGAAATTGGTTAAACCTCCACTTGATCGATATAAGAAAGCCCACCGATTTGTGCTACAAAACCTATCTGCAGTTCATCCATATATTGAAAAACATCTTCATGAGTTGAAAATTCACAATCCCAGGATCAGCTCCTTTGCGTTGATGTAGGAACATAATCGCCACTTTGTTGAGTGGTTTGAAGGCCAAGTGAAGCTTGGATTGAGTAGAGATGAGAATGTTTCTGAAACGATCAAGTGGCTTTCACGAGGTCCACAACCACTTGTTTATACTTATGAGGGTTACGATATCAATGGATTTACTTTTGCCACTTGTCGTCAAGATGAAAAAAGTGTGCAACAAAATAGTGGTGTTTTCGTGGTTGCATCTTCTACTGAATACTCAAGTTCTAGGGATACAAGGCCAGTTGAAGCTACACAGGCATATTACGATGTCATTCAAGAAATCTGGGAGTTGGATTATGTTGATTTCACAATTCCTTTATTTCGTTGCACATGGGCTGATAACCGTCGTGGTATGAAAACCGATGAGTTATTTGGATTCACCTTGGTTGACTCTAGTCGATACATTGATGGTGAAGAGCCTTTTGTATTAGCTTCACAATCGAAACAAGTATTCTACATCAAGGATAATATAGATCCGCAATGGCGTGTTGTAGTTGAAGGAAAGAGAAAAATCACTAGTTGAAAATAAGTGATGGGAAGCCCCAAATGGCAAGCGGTTTTTAAAATCCGCTTGCCATTAACCTTTTTTTTAAAAAACCCTGTAAGTTTAAATGGCAAGCGGTTTGGGGTTGAACCGCTTGCCAATATATATAATGACAAGCGGTTTGGGGTTGAACCGCTTGCCATTAGATATATTGGCAAGCGGTTCAACCCCAAACCGCTTGCCATTTAAAAAAAAAACCCTAAATGCGCGCAATTCACCTTCCCCTTCTTTTATTTCTCTCTCTCCTCTTTCTTTACTCAGCTCTCTCTCTCCTTTTTCATTTCCGTCGAGTTCCATCTCTCTCCTCCTTCATTTTTACTCCCGTTTTTCCTCTTTCTCCTCTTCTCTTCCCTAATTCGTCCCTTTCTTCTCTTTCACTTTCTCTTTGTTCTTTCTCATCTCCTTATATTCGAACCAAAACCAGGTAATTTCGAGCAAAATCAAACAAAACCCCAAGTAAAATCGAGCAAATTTCGAACAAGATCGAGCAAATTTGTGCATGTGTTGGTGTTCATGTTTTTTAGGTCAAATTCGACCATGAAAACCCTAGATCTAGATTTTTTATGGTCGAATTCGACCTTTAAAACCATAATTTCAAGCCCAAATCGGCTTTTTCTAGTCGTTGTGGTTAGATGGTATGTTTTTTAAGGTGGGTCGAATTTTTTTTTTGTCCAAATCGGCGTTTTCTTGTCGTTGTTTGGGTGGGGGTGTGGTTGTGGTGGGCGGGGATTGTGGTTTGGGTTAGGGTCGTGGTGGGTGGGAGGTGTGGTTTGGGTTAGGGTCGTGGTGGGTGGGGGGTTGTGGTTTGGGTTTGGGTCGTGGTGGCTGTTGTGGTTTGGGTTAGGGTCGTGGTGGGTGGGGGTTGTGGTTTGGGTTAGGGTCATGGTGGGTGGGGGTTGTGGTTTGGGTTTGGGTGGGGGTCAGGTCGTATTTTCTACTACTGTTGTGGTGGCTGTTGTTTGGTGTTGGTTGTTGTTGTGGGTGGTGGCTGGTGGTGTTTGGTGGTTGGAAATCACAAATTTTAATTTTTTTTGTTGTTGGTGGTGTGGGGTGGTGGCTGGTTGTTGGTGGCTGTTGTTGTTGTGGGTGGTGGCTGGTGGCTGGTGGTGTTTGATGGCTATTGTTGTGGGTGGTGGCTGGTGGTGTAAATTAAATAATATTATAACAATTAATTAATAAAAATATTAATGTTTTTACATTTGGATTGATTATGTATCAATTTAATTGAAAAAAACCCAAATTTTTTTTAATTTTATTTTTAATACCCCTAATGGGCAGTGGTTTGACGCTAAAACCGCTGCCCTTTCACTACAATTGGCAAGCGGTTCTGAACCGCTTGCCATTTTAAAGACCAATTGGCAAGCCCCCTAAGGACATGCGGTTCAGAACCGCTTCCCATTAAGGGGTTTGAACCGCCTCCCATCACTTATTTTCTACTAGTGAATTGTGGGTGTGGAAGATGTCGTGGATGAAGAAGAGTATGACTAATTTGATGACATCCCGCCTATAACAATGGGAGTGCAACCTCTACAAGAAGGGGAAGATATTGTTGATGATGTAGAGTATGATCGTGAGGAAGGGTTAGTGGTTCCCATAACTACAACCAAGGTTTGTGTTATTGTATTCCTTTAACAATAGTATTTTTTTGCAATAAATACTGAATTTATTAAATTGGTATATATCTAAATCATGAATTTCTTTATTGTATAGTATTTACATTAATATGATTTTATTGTTATGATTTTGATTCTAATTCTTATTAATTTCATTCTTTGTGTAGGTGTATGCAAATAACAATGGAAGAAAACATAGATGATCATGATGGACAGGAACAATCTGTTGACATGGATGCCTCCACTTCCCAAGTAAAATCTTCTACAAAAAAGGGACGAGGCCCGTCTAGAGCAATCCAAACAACTACACCCATGTTCCTCGAATTTGATGAGTTTGACATGCCTATTGGAAAGTGGGAATCTGCTTATGGGAAGCAAATTGGTAATTGTGCTCAAAGAGTTAACGTTAATGTGAAGGGATATCCGAAGTATGATAAAGTTCAAAAGCAAAACTTGTGGGAGGAGAGTAAGGTAATTACGATATAAATATGGTTTATTGCTCTAAATTTAATGATACTTATAATTAATTATGAATATTAACATTCTCTAATTTTGTAGCGGAAGTTCCACATTGATGATCCCAAGGGTAGTAAAGAGAAGAAGTTCCACGAAGCTTTTGGTGCTAGATTTAGGAAGCACAAGTCTTGGTTAGTTTCACGATTCATTACTAAGGAAACTGCACCTCCGCCTGACCCACCAATTGCAAACATTAAGCCCTGGGAGCTTTATGAAGGTTACATCACAGAAGAGCAATGGAAAGAGTTTGAGACATATTGCAATACAGATGAATTTAAGGTGTGTAAGATATTATGAAAGTATTTTTCACATATATACTTTATTTCAACTACAATACTACTTACAATAGCTTTTCATTTTGTAATAGGCTCTGAGTGAAAAAGGCAAGGAAAATGCAAAGAATAATAAGCATCGCCACTATAGGGAAGATTTCAAGCGCTAATCCCTAGCTTGAACTCCACTGTGATCATACACTTAAGTACGGTGGCGTCCAAAAGAAAAGAAGATAGAGCAAAAGAGTCGCCAACAAGTTTTTTTTAGGAACTTGTAAACCGTTCACGAGGTGAAGGTTACACCCCTTAACGATCCATGAGATCGTCAACTCCAATAGGCCTTGAACCAAATAGGGTTCGGGGATGAAGGTACAAATCCAACCTAAAAGAGATTGAACCTGCCCTAATAATAGGCCTCTACTTTATTCTGATCGTATTCATGTGCGCTTTCTGACTAACATGCAATCAATAGGTTTACCCTAAACGTGTTTATCTATGTTGGTTGAATATTAATGCACAAATAAATCTATTATTGGCGATAACTTTAATTATAATCAAATTAACCCTAAAAAAGATTATCAATTATCTTATTAAGCGTGATTACAAGTACAAATTCCCTTTAAACATGCATAAAAGGTGTGATCAAGCAATAAAAATAAATATCAAGCAACATAATAATAATCATAATAATGTTAAATCATAATAATAGTAAGATCCTAGGCATGATACTAACAAGATTAATAACAAACCCTAGCGTGTCACTAAACAATAAAGATCAAAACTTTAACCCTAACATGATACTAACAATCATAAATATTTGGAAGAACATAAAATGCATCATACTTTTAATCATACTTGATATTAAAGTTACCCTAGACATGATACTAGGAATCATAATAACAATCTAAGCATGATTTCTACATAATAATATCAATAAATCAATTAAAGCACTTACTTGGATGCCTCGTACCTCTTTCTAATAACAAAATACACGCGTTAGTAACTTCAAGGAAAATAATAATTAAAACAATTAAATTAAATAATTGAAAGAGAGATTTGGGACCAAACCCTCAGAAATTAAACCTTTCACATCTAGGGCGAAGGCAACTTCGAATATGGCTAGGTGTATCGATCTAAGTCTTGTGAATGCGGAATTTTGTATTTGAGAAAAGGCTAGTTTAGAAAAAAGAGAGAGAGTAATCAAGAAAATCTTGATGAGAGTTGGTGAATGAAAACGAAGTTTTTAGAAGACTATTTATAGAGAAAATCAGCCAAAAAGATAAAAAAATCAAAACAGAGTTCTGACGCGTAAAATGAGGTTGGCGCCAGACGTTGACATTAGCGCCAGGCGCTAATGCTAGCGCCCGGCGCCAAGCTTAGCGTCAGGCGCTAATGCTGGCGTTTGGTGCTAACTTAACTATTGATGCGTTTTCTAAAATCAGATAGAAATTGCCGTACAGGAGGATAAAATCGTATTTTCCTCAAAAATATTCTTTTGTTCTGATTAAAACTCTAAAAAAGTCAACAAAAGTCAATTTATCAATGCTAATTGAATTAGGAATGAAAAGAACCTTCTAGAAGAATCTAGAAGACTAAAAACATTCCTAATTGCATTAGGAATGATAAATCTATATTAGGCCCTCTTCTAGATCATTGGGCCGCATATAAGGCTCAAACCGGGCCCAGTTCAGTAATTTGGCCGTAACTTCCTCAATATTTATCGGAATTGGGCTTATATTATATCGTTGGAAAGCTCTTTTCAAGCCCTATCCAACTACACTATTATTGGAACCATATCATGGACCAACCAAACTGGATTGGCTATTTTCTTAAAATAGGTTTTCATAAACAGAGAGAAGAGAAAAGAAATTAAAACTATCCGCAACACTAAACTTTCCACACTTTCACTTCATTCGATTATGATTCGACGTGAAAGGTACTCATCACCGGGTTTGGTTTTGGGGAGACACATATGGGTGTCTACAACCACAATCTAGGCTCCAAGAGTTATGAGAGGGCTCGAGTTGATTGGAGTAAGACCAATAGAATTCCAGCAGAATCTTCAACCTCAAGCACCACAGAGTCCACGACAAGCTGTGTAATGAGTGAAAAGCTTAAAAATCGGTCTCTTTATTGGATTTTGGCCCGTCAAAATCGTAATGCAGATGGATCGTGGGCTATAGACCCGAAGAATGCCGAAACCCAGCAAATAGCCAATGCTATTGTAAGTGTTGTTCTAAGTAACCAAGTATAGTTTTTTTTTTTCTCAGTTGTTTATACTTTTGAGCTGATCAGTTCTGATCAGGCCTTTTCTGTTTATTGCTCATTTCCTGCGTTGTTTAATGGGAGGCCTTTTCTGTTTATTGCTAATTTCCTGCTTCTTGCGTTGTTTAATGGGATTTGCTAAAACTGAGGCCTTTTTTGATCAGTTCTAATCAGTTCCGATCAGTTCTGATCCATTCCGATCAGTTCTGAAATTACAGTTCTGATCAGTTTCGATCAGTTCTGAAATTGTAGTTCTGATCAGTTTTGTTCAGTTCTGATCAGTTCTGAAATTTCAGTTCCGATCATTTCTAAAATTTCAGTTCTGATCAGTTCCGATCGGTTCTGAAATTTCAGTTCTGATCAGTTCCGATCAGTTCTGATCAGTTCTGAAATTTCAGTTATGGTCACTTCTGAACAGTTTTGATCAGTTCTGAAATTTCAGTTCTGATTAGTTGTTGCTTGCTTAGTTGTTTTTAACCCTGCATAAAGAAAAAGGCAAGGACCTGTGGATTTGTGATGGTGCTAATACTTAGTATGTCATTTAGCTGGAAGGGTGAATGGGTGATGCTGAACTTCTGACTTGTGGATTCTCATAGTAGACATTGATGCCAACGCATCTGTTGTTGCAAAGCTCTTGTAGGAATTCTGAGAGAAAGAAAAAGTAGGAAGAACAGAAACTTGCAATCTTATACATTGAAATAACAAAAAACTACCATGTATGATTCCTTCTTTATCACAATGCAGTCGTACTTAAATAGGTGTAAGTAAATGATTCACTTGAATTCCTGCACAAATTGTTCATTATCTGCTTATGTTATATTTCTTAAATTAATTAATCAGCTTAGCCACATTAAGGGTTTAAACATGACACTTCAAACTTGGGGTATATTATGGTGCTGGTCTAGTTGGCTCCTGTTGTTTTGTTTGATGATATTTGTTGTTCTAGATTTTTATGTGCTAGTTTGGATTATTCTTCACAAGATTTTAATGTGTTAATAGACCATACTCGCTATTGATGGATGACCAATGTGCCTGAAATTGCCATGGAAAGGATATTGCAGTTTGCTAGTTTAGGGAGGTCTATATGGGCCTGCTGGTATGCTGATAGCTAGCTAGTTCTGTTATGGTAAGGCTGTAAGGGTAATGAGCGAGCTAGTTCTGTTATTTAGATGCTTACCTCTGTTTTAAATTTTGCTTTTCATCAGAAGTGCTGTGCTGAACTCCTGATGATATTAAATAATTAAGATAGCTAAGAGAATGTGTCCTTGCCTTTTTCTTTATGCATGGTTAAGTAATTTATGCAATTAAGATAGCCTTGATTGTTGTTTCTTGCTTAGTTGTTGTTGTGACCGTTGTGATCCCTTCACCATCTCAATTAGTTGATGAAGGCCTTACTTATCAACCAATTTTCCAATTGTTGACACATAATGGGGGTACAGATTATCTAAATTTCTTTACTTGCATGAATTATCATCTGGGCTATTGGCAGTAGAAGATTGAGCGCAAAGTTGCCTTAATGATAAACAGAGATAGGCTACAAACTAAAAGTTGTAAGAAGGTCCTTTATAAGCACTTTACTATACAAGCTATTGCATTTTTAAACAGGCCCACAGTGTAATTGATTTCCATTTCCATGTGCACAATTTTGTTTATGTTTTCATATTATACAGATTGCGCTTGTACTTGACTGTATTATACACTCATATTGGCGTTGTACATTGAGATTATTATATAATAATTTCTACCCCCTACTTTCTGTCCTGGCTCTTGTTTGCACTCTTCTTCTTTGTTTCTCCTTATTTGTTTACTTACTTCTACTATATTCTCTGTTTTCCCTATGTTCCCCTCTGTCCCTAATCTGAATATGTGGCTCACCATGTCGTAGTAGTGGTAAGTACCTGTCTTTGTGCAAATAATCAAGTCCAGCAATCATGTCATAAGCTCTTCTGAAATTTCAATTTCGATCAGTTCTGGAATTTCAGTTCTGATCAGTTTTGATCAGTTCTGAAATTTCAGTTCCGATCAGTTCTGAAATTACAGTTCTGATCAGTTCTGAAATTTCAGTTCCGATCAGTTGTGAAATTTCAGTTCTGATCAGTTCTGAAATTTCAGTTCCGATCACTTCCGATCAGTTCTGAAATTTCAGTTCTTATCAGTTTTGATCAGTTCTGAAATTTCAGTTCCGATCACTTCCGATCAGTTCTGAAATTTCAGTTCCGATAAGTTCTGAAATTTCAGTCCTGATCAAATTGATCAGAATTAGTTCTGAAATTTCAGTTCCGATCAGTTCTGAAATTTCAGTTCTGATCAGTTCTGTTCACTTCTATGCTATATATGTTGTAGGCTACAAGTCTATTTATGCATATCATTTTTTTTCAATTCAGGTTCTTGTTCTGCCATATCTTATATATGTTTTTTTTTAAATAGTTGGAAAACTTGCAAAAGAATGATGAAGGAAACAATTCAAGTGATGGTATTGGTATGGATGCCCTCGACAAGGCTTTAGGAAAAAAGGATCACCGCGGGCATGTAAAAGCACTAGGAAGGTATGAGGTTGGAGTTAGACACACACAAGTATTTGGGAAGGGATGCAAAAAGGGTAAATCATCCGGCCAAGGTGGATGCTCATTAGAAGACTTAGAATCAATGAAAGCTACCGTAACTCAAGAATTTGAGGCGAGGCTAGAAGAAAAGGTTGAAGAGAAGCTTCAAGAGAGGATTGAAGAGAGGATCGAAGAGAGGTTGGAACAACGGGTGGCAATGGAGGTGAAAGCTTATCTCGCCAATTTACTACCACAGATAACCGGTGACGTGGAGGCATTTCAAGGAATGCAAGTGATGACGAACATGGAGGCAACACAAAGCCCTCGTGTAATAGAGGTATATATCTTTAACTAATACTAAAGATATGACTTTACATGGTTAACATGTATAATATTGATCGAGTTTTTTGTAACATGTAGGTAGCCACTAAATGTCGCCTAGCATTGAAAGATGAGTACAATCAAAATTTAGTGGTTGTGGCAGATGGAACGGTATACCCTGTTACCGGTGAAGTTACTCACAACTTGAAGATGTTACCTGATCATTACAGGGTTAGTGTGGACAACCCTTATCCCGATCGTGCCCTCCTCGATATACCGGTACCGTCTCCCGATGGTGTGACTAAGTTGGGAAAAGCCAAGTCTTCCTTTGTACTATGGCCTATAAACATGGTTTTTTTTGAAGAAGAGGTATATTCTCCTACTATTAACATTAAATCCCATCATTTTTGTATATTTTATCTAGACTAATATTCACCTATTTGTAAAGGTTTCACCATCGCCCAAAAAGAAGCATAGATCTCGCCAAAGCAAAGAAGGGGACGATAGTTGTGGTGTGAAATCAAGGCAATCTACCATCAAACAAAATTCCTACCACTTGAAGATAAAACTGTCGATACTTTTGGCAAGGGATGTGAGTTGTTGTATTGGTTAATGAATTCTGATGATGCAAAGTATGATACAACATTGGTACTTATAAAGGCCTCAATGTTTAATTTTGATAGCGACAAACAGATTTGGGTAACCGCTACCGATGTACGTGAATTTCTAAGAGGATCGTGGGCTAATGTTTCATTGATTCATGTTTATATCATGTAGGTTACTTAATCTTCCTTTACTTTGGTTCTTATATTCACTATAGTAATATTCTTATTGCTATAATGCTGAATTTTTTGTTTTCTATGTCTTTATCATGTAGGTATTTAGTAGACAACTTCATCGACCTTTTCAACAGGACTGAGATCACGTTCTTTTGTCCTCAACTCATTTCTGAATCTTCAATTGAGAATGATTACCTTGAAACTTATACATATGTGAAGAATACATTTTTGCATGAAGTAAGAAAGACGAGTAAACGTTGCAAATTCATCGTGGCTCTATATGTCGCAAGGTTCGAAATATGTTTTTTATACTGCCACTAAACTTAATCATATAGATGATATGTTTTTCACCAATTTTCCAATACTCTAACTTGTGTTTTCCTCTTAAATAATGTAGTGGTCATTGGGTTCTTGTGGCGGTCGATCTACAATTAGCTTTAGCTTATGAGTTTGACTCTATGAAGCTACCTAAAGAAAAACCACGACAATTGAAAATTGCCGAAATTATGATGACGTGAGCCACAACCTTGAAATTATGCCCTAGTTTCTATATCATTTTTGTATGTGGTGTTGTAGATTATTTTGTTCTAAGTCTTAGAATATATATTATTTTTGTAGGGCTTATAAAGTATATCGGGCGAATCTCACAAGGAGTGAATTGAAATCACATAGGCAAAAATTGAAATTCATACAAATGGAGGTAAATACACTACTCACCCCATATTGTTATACATTGTTCACTTTGAAAACAAAATTTTTAACTATTTGTTATATATACTAGTGTGCTCAACAACAAGGAGGCGTTGAATGTGGCTACTACATTATGAGATACATGTATGAAATTGTTACTTCTCACTTGGAGTGCAAAGGTGTCTTAGAGGAGGTTAGTAGTTTTTTTTTTTTTTTTTTTTTTTTTTTTTTTTTTTTTTTTTTTGCAAAATTTGAAGCCTTTTTAGCTCTATACGCTCCCAAGAGTAAGATAATGGTCAATTTTTATTGATTTCAATTCATAAAAACCAAAATATAAGGTAATTAAGGATGTTTAGTGTTATATTGTGTTAATTTGAACAAATACTTGAAAGATGGGAAAGGTAGAAGTCCCTTAGGCAATTTTGAAGCGTTTTTGGCTCTATACGCTCCCAAGAGTGAGATAATGGTCAATTTTCATTGATTTCAATTCATAGAAACCAAAATATAAGGTAATTATGGATGTTATGTGTTATATTGTGTGAATTTGAACAAATACTTGAAAGATGGGAAAGGTAGAAGTCCCTTAGGCAATTTTGAAGCGTTTTTGGCTCTATACGCTCCCAAGAGTGAGATAGTGGTCAATTTTCATTGATTTCAATTCATAGAAACCAAAATATAAGGTAATTAAGGATGTTATGTGTTATATTGTGTTAATTTGAACTAATACTTGAAAGATGGGAAAGATAGAAGTCCCTTAGCGCAATTTTGAAGCCTTTTTGGCTCTATACGCTCCCAAAAGTGAGTAAATGTTCACTTTTTATTGATTTCAACTCATAGAAATCAAAATATAAGTCAATTAAGGATGTTATGTGTTTTATTTCTATATTATGAGTTTTATTTCTATAATTTGGTTCATCACATTTATTCTAATGATTGTTTTTATTATGGATTGTTTTTATTTTGTAACCTCTTTCATATGTTTTTTTTTCAATAGGATTTTTGTCCAAGGAAAGCCCCGTATGATGTTGACGAGTTGAATGTGGTTCGAGAACAGTGGGCGCAATACTTTAGAAGTAAATATTTATTGAATGCATAACTATTAGATTAGGTAGAACAACGTAATATTTTTAGTGTTGTTGTATATGTTGGATAAATTTATACAAGTTTTTATTTGTAATGTGTCACTACTTCAATTTTTATATTACGTCGTATTAATTTTTACGAAAGATTGTTCGGTATAATTGCTTATTTACAGGAACAGGTTTATTATAACAGGTTTTAATTAATATATATTAATTATATATAAATACATGTTGTCGAAATTAAATAAAATGAAAATTTAATTTAATAATTATTTGTAAAGGGCAGCAGAATTGTCAGTTACAAATAACCAGTTATTCGTAACGGGCATTTTTGTTGCCCGTTACAAATAAGTGTTAAATTATATAAAATAAAACTTTATTCGTAACGAAAATTTAAGATGTCAGTTACGAATAATCACTTATTCGTAACGGGCGTTTTAGGTGCCCGTTACGAATAAGGACTTATTTTAATACAAAAAAGGATTTATTCGTAACTGACATTTCAGATGTCCATTACGAATAACCCCTTATTCATAACTAACATTTCAAATGTCCGTTACGAATAATGGGTTATTCGTAACATACATTTTAAATGTTAGTTACGAATAAAGGGTTATTCGTAACGGACAGTGCCCGTTCCGAATAACAATGGCCATCTGTAACGGCCGCATACGTAACGGACGCTGCCCGTTACGGATGGGCCCTTTTTGCCCGTTACGGATGGCGTTTTTCCACTAGTGCATGCCCTTACTCTGTATTAGTTTCTCATTGGATTAGTTCATGTATTAGATTTATATCTTTAAGCCAAATTTAGCTATATAAGGGAAACGATATGTAATGAACTAATAAAGTTTAACAGATATAGCCATATGGTCAAGTTATATTTAAGTAAAAAAAGTTCTTAACAATTGATGAAAAAAACAATTAAATGCATCAAATTAAAGTGATTAAGTTAAAAAAAATAATGAAAGGTCAATTGCCTAGTCTTGATTTAAAATTAAGTTTAGTTTGAAATCGTATCAGGTTAAAAGGAGGTCAGGTTACAATCAGGCCGAGTTAGCAAAATAGATCAGAGTGAATCGAATATTTGATGGGACAAAACAAATATCAAGTCAATTAACCATAGGAAAAATGGAAAAGAAAAATCCAACCTTTGCACTTTTTTCTCCTAAAAATCCAACCTTCAATTTATTCCTCAAAAATCCATTTGACCTTTAACTTGTTAAACAGGTTGAAGTTTTTTTTTTTAATTCTCTCAATTTCCTTTCTCACTCCCCCTCTTTCTCTCTCCACCAATTCCTCCACCACAACAACCAGCACGCCACCAATACGCTACCAACACCACCATAAAGGAGTTATGTCTTCGATAAGTGCAATTACTAGATATATCAAGGATCACGATTATGGAGATAATGAGTTCATTCTATAGGGTCGTCAATGTTTGGTGCTAGATATGACAATTGATCTTTGGGCTAGCTTAATGGCCCAAAGCCTTTATAGAGTGGATCCTACAAGGTCACATATAAGAGTATTGGGTTAAACAAGTTAGAGGCCCATTATTGGGCCTCATGAGTTCATGACATACGATGTTGATTATTGCGCTTGGATAGTTGGAAGAGTCTAATGGGTTTTGGACTTGACATGGTTTTATTTCTAGATATTATCTATAAATATAAACCATGCCTAGGGTTGCATAACAGAACAATTGACATACAGTGAATTGTCACACAAGCAACCAAGCTTCCCAAAACCCTAACTCTCTCTTTCTCTCTACTCGGCCCTCTCTCTCTCCTCCCTGTTTGTTCGACCCTCCTCCTTGGGTGGCGCGTGTGGTGGTGCGTGGGTGGTGTTGTGGTGTGTTCGTGGCTCAAATCTCCGTTGAAGGTTGATTGAAGTGTTCAATCACAACTAACTAGCATTAGTGGAGGTTTAATCTGTGCTCGTGGACTAAGTAGAGGAATCACACGTGGGGTTCTTGTTCTCCTTATTGTTCTTGTTCGATCACTTATGGAATCATGCTTCAAAGGTATACTTCTGACTTCTCTATGAGTTATGCATGAGATCCTTGGTTTAGGTGCTTTATGAATATGATTCATATATTTTCTGCAATTTAGTACCTATAATCTCCTATAGTGGTATCAGTTAGTCTCTTGCAATTACATATATTGAGTATTAATTCATTGATAATCCACAATTTTATTTTAATTAGGAGGGAGAATAATTTAATTATGGGTCAATTATTATATTAAATGTGATTTAACAATATAGAATCATTAAAAGTTGTTTAATTTTCTCCATATTAGCCTTAATTTGATCCGAAATTGCCCTAATTAATTCGAAAAAAATTCGAACCCCCCACCCTATTTCTTCGAAAATTTCGAAATCATAAACCCTAATTTGTGAAATTTGTGTTTTGGTTTTGATTTAATTCGATAGTTATATGTTTAAAGAATATAATCCATTTGATTTCATGTTAAAATTATGAATTTTTCATGATCAAATTATTTAATTTAAAAGTTAAATTGAATTAGGGATTAAATTCATGAAGAACCCGAATTTTAAAATTGAATATGATTTAATTTTAAAATTAGAAGGACCACATTAATTTAATTTTAATAAAAATATTTTGTTTTAAATTAAAATAAAAAAGGGGTTTTAAGGTGCGGCAGCCGCGGCTGGGTGGCGCAGCCACGGCGACTGCCGCACCGGCGGTGGTCCAGGAGGGAGGGCGGGCTGGGCAGGGGTCGAACAGGGGCAGCGCAGCAGTGCACCACCTTGTTGGGTGTGTTGCTGCTGCTGTCCTTGCGCCGCTGTAGGGAAGCTACACCGCAAGGTGTACGGCCACCGTGGCCGGCTTCGGCTGGCCACACCATGGTGGCTGGCGCGTTTTTTCAAAAAATATTATTTTATTTTAGATAAAAATCAGTTTTTCAAAATTAAAAAAAATTGAAAGGATAAATTTTGATTTTGAAAAGATAATTAACAAAGTTTAAGTGGTAAATTTTGTTAAGATAGGATAACTATGGAGCAAAAGATTCTATTTGGATAATAATTGATTAAATAATGTGATTATCCCATAATTATTTTAGGATATTAATTGATTTAAAATATGTGATTGGCAAGTAATTAGGATAGAATTTCCTAAAAGTTAGGATAATCAGGGAAAATAAATATGATTTATCTTCCATAATTAAAATAAGATTTGATTCTATCTCATACCTAAATTAAAATATATGATATTTTATAATTGGTTATGAATTTTATAATTGGTTATGAATAATATATGATATTATCTAATTACAGTAATTAATTAAAATATGAGATATTTAGGAGTCATGTTTCCTTAATTGTGAACATTCGATGTTGTAGTTTAGGAAAGCATGATGAGTGATTTATTATATGGCATTTTATAATATATGATGTTATTTAT